TGGAGAAGGATGTCATGCTGGGTAAGGTGGAGGGTCAGAGAAAAAGAGGAAGACCTCTAACGAGATGGATTGGCCAGGTGGCATCATTGATGGTGTCAAGTGTGGCAGCGGTAGTGAAGTTGGTCCAGGATTGGATATTGTTTCATTCTTCTGTGCATGGGGTCGCTATGAGTCGGTTCCTACTCGATGGCACCTGACTACAACAACATGTGATATATATAAATGGGGTCCTAGTGTGACACTGAGTTAATGCGCCAGACTACAAAGTTGGTTTGAACTGCAAGGTTGGTGGTTCAAACTCACCAGTAATTCCTCAGAAACCATATACGTGGTCGCTGTGGGTTGAAACTGACTCAATGGCACTTAATAACAACGAAAACAACAACGTATATATACATGCCGCTGTGTGCTGTTAAGTCAATTCTGACTCATATTGATCATGTACAGGGTTTTTGAGTCTAAGTCTTTATAGGTGCAGTACTGCTGATCTTCCAGTTAGCAACCTGATTCAAAAACTCACTGTGGTACCAGGGCACGCACACACACACACACACACACCATATCTAGACATTTGTATTATTTCCAGTATTTGGCTATAATGAGTAATGCTGCTATGAATATTTGTGTGTAAGCTTTTGTGTAGACATATGTTTTCATTACTCTTGGACAATTACTAGTACGATTACAACTACTGTATCATATGGTAACTACGATTAACATTTAAAAAGCAAGCAAATACTTTTTATTGTGAATTGAGTGATGGTTTACAGAGCAGATCATCAATTTTACATTCAATAAATCATATACTTTACTTCATTACGTGCTTGCAATCCAGTTCATGTACCAACAGCAGTTAACAGCATTTACCTCTATTCATTTTAACAATTGCATTCTTCCATGTGTCTCCTGTTACCTTCATCTTTCCTCTGCTAACCTCCCTCTTGTTGTATATTGTCTGCCCTGTCACCTGTGTTAACATATGTGTACTCTCTAGCCCATGAGTAATTTTCCCTTCCAATCATCATAGATTGTTTCTTTTATCAAGGAAAACTTTGTATTTTAACTTTTGGCAACATTGGTGTCATGCAATGTTTGTCCTTTTGTAATTGACTAATTTCACTCAGCATAATGTCCTCCAGGTTCAACTATGATGTGAGGTGTTTCACAGATTCATCATTATTCTTAAACATTTTGTAGTATTCCCTTGTGTGTATGTCCTGGAGTTTGTTACTCCATTCTTGTGTTGATGGGCATTTAGGCTGTCTCCATATTTTTGATATGTCTCTTGTGGACAGCTTATTAAAAGATTCTATTTTCTTATCCATTCTGCTCTTTATGTTTCTTGACTGGTACATTTTATCCATTTACATTCATGTATTTATCAATAGATATGATTTGATTGTTGTCATTTTTCTGTGTGGTTTTTTTGGGCTGCTGCTGGATTCTTTGTTCCATGTAATTTTCTATGCTGAGTTGATTTTGTTTGTGGATTTTCTTTTCATTTTCATATTTGCTGTGTTAGTGTTTACTGATCTTTCTGATTTTCATCTGTTTTTATTTTTATGGGTAGGTATATTACTTTTCTTTGAGGTTACCCTGTAACTTGTTATTTTTTTACCTTGCTTGAAAGCTACCTGACTTTGTTGTCATTTGGAAGTTCTGTATCTACGTTATTCTTTCTTTTTGCTTTGTAGTTGACTTCATTATACATTGACATCTCTGGTTCTCTATTTTCAGTCTTGTAAGATTTGTTTTACTTTAAATACTTGTATATCTGGGTTGAGTTCTGGGTGGTGTTGTCATGTATGGTAATCTCAGGTTGTTGTCTGCTGATGTTGGTTCCCAGTCCAAAAATTACCTGTTAGCATTTTTTGTAAAGTTGGCATGTTATTGTTGTTAAGTGCTGTTAAGTCGGTTCCTACCCATAGCAATCCTGTACAGGGTTTCCAAGGTTGTAAATCTTTACAGGAGTAGAAAGCCTCATCTTCCTCCCATGGAGCGGCTGGTAATTTGAAACTGCTGACCTTAAGGTTTACAGCCCGATTCGTAACCACTACACTACTAGAGCTATACTCATTACAAATTCCTTTAGTTTCTATTTATCAGGAAATGTCCTAATTTTGTGGTAGTATTTGACTGAAGAAAAAATTCAAGCCTCAACTTTTGTTATTGAAAGATTATCTGGGCAAATTATTGAATGATGCAGGCAGCATCAGGAGAAGATGGAAGGAATACATAGAGTCACTGTACCAAAAGGAAATGGTTAATGTTCAGCTGTTTCAAGAGGTAGCATATGATCAAGAGCCAATTATACTGAAGGAGGAAATCCAAGGTGCATTGAAGGAATTGGCAAAGAACAA